AATAATAATAATTAATGTCTGGAATATCTCAGTGAGTTGGGTGCCTGGCTGTGTAGTCAGAGGTTTGGAGATTGATTCCCCATTAGGTCTCCTGGAAAAACAGACAGCCAGTGTGGTTTTTAGCAAACTGCACAGTCCAGGACACCCTAGAAAAAGAGAACAGGAGTACCCTGCACCTAAAAAGCCCTGTAAGAATCAACTGTAAGTTGGAATTAACTTGACAAAACATAATTAATTAATAAACATCAATTAACATTAACATTCCCGAACACTGTTTCATGTATGGATTCACCACACCACTGTCTTTAATTATCCCAATTAATTTGACACCCCTTTTACTCCTTCCTTATCACCAACCATGACCACAGTATTTCAGTACATTTGCTAGTCGCTTGGGCAGCACTGCATCCTCAGGGTTATTGCAAAGGAACTGAAAAAAATGCATTTACTATAGTTTTACTTTTTCTTGTATTTTTCCTTTTATTTTCTCTTCTTATGGAAGGGTTTTGTAAGCAAGTTGGATGAATTCATTCGCTGGTTAAATGAAGCCATGGAAACAACTGAGAACTGGACTCCTCCAAAGGCAGAAACAGACAGCCTTAAACTCTACTTGGAAACCCATTTGGTAAGCAAGATTATTCTTTGAATGTGTTTAAAACAAACTGCTGGATAGCTCAGTGGTTTAGGTAGAGGTTGGGAGTTTGATTCCTTTCTGTGACTCCCTTATAAGATGAGGACTTGATGATCCATAGGGTCCCTTCCAGCTCTGTAGTTCTAAGTTTTCTATTACTAAAACCAATAAGGAAAAATACCCTGCCTGGTGTTCTATTTTATTTTATTTTTAAAATTATTTCTATGCATCATTTTAAGAAAATATGCAATGCAGTCTTGCCGGTGGTATTAAGTGAAATTTTAACCAATCCATGTTTTGATTGAAAAGGAACTAGATTTTCCCTTTGATCTTTCAAGCATGTACTGTGGAACAAATGCTCCACCTGAGTTTAGGAGCCAGCAGGATATTGTAATTATCATCCCCAGAAAAGGAAATGTCACCACAGAAAGCAACTCATATGTCAAAAAAAAAGAAGGGGGGGGGCTTTTCTACTGAAAATACTAAAACTTTGTAAAGTGTTCTTATATCATTGAAGTACTCATTATCAACCCAATTGTTAGATTTTCTGCATTTCTAGTCTCCAGCAAAATACAGGGTGGGCAAAATAAGGCCCTCCAAATGTTTATTGGAACTCCCCTTGGTCTTGATCAGAATAGCAGAGGATAAGAAATGCTGGGAATTGCTCACCCTGGTTGAAATGTTTATTTAAAACTTGTTACAAGATGCAGATTTTTTAATACAGTGGACCCTTGACTTACAGACGGCTTGACTTACAGACTTTTTGAGTTACAGACTTCTCTGGCCGCAAAATTTAGGTTTGACTTGCAGACTGAGATTTGACTTACAGACCAGAAAAAAACCAAAATGGAACAAAAACGGCCTGTTATGGGATTAATCGGTTTTCAATGCACTGTAGGTCAATGGAGACTTGACTTACAGACTTTTTGACTTGAGAACCGCCTTCCAATACGGATTAAGTTCTCAAGTCAAGACCCCACTGTAATGTGGTAATAAGGGTTGTCAGACATGACCTGTTGACATATAACAACAAACAATTGTGGTTCTTGTGCTAAAAGCCAACATATTAGAAAGAATAGAGAAGCTGTGTGTGAAAAACTAAGTATACCTTATGATTCAATAGCTTGTAGAACCACCTTTAGCAGCAACACTTTGAAGTAATCATTTTCGGTACGACTCTTATCAGTTTCACATCGTTGTGGAGGAATTTTGGCCCACTCTTTATAATATCGCTTCAATTCATTGAGGTTTGCAGGCATTTGCAGCCATTTCAATTGGGTTTAGGTCCGGACCTGGACAGTGCCCTTGCAACACCCGGATGCTTTTCTCTTTTAGCAATTTTATTGTAGATTTGCTGGTGTGCTTCGGATCATTGTCCTGTTGCATGACCCAATTTCGGCCAAGTTTCTGCTGCCAGATAGATGGCCTCACATTTGACTCTAGAATTACTTTGGTATACAGAGGAGTTCATGGACAACTCAATGACTGCAAGGAACCCAGGTCTTGAAGCTGCAAAACAAGCCCAAATCGTCACCCCTCCACCACCGTGTTTGACAGTTGCCATGAGGTGCTTGTGCTGATGTTGTGCTTGGTTTTCACCAAATGTGATGCTGTGCATTATGGCCAAACATCTCCACTTTGGTCTCAACTATCCAAAGGACATTGTTCCAGAAGGTTTGTGGTTTGTCCAGATGCAACTTTGCAAACATCCTGCCATGTTGTTTTTAGAGAGAAGAAGCTTTCTCCTGGCAACCCTTCCAAACAAATCATACTTGTTCAGTCTTTTTATAACTGTACAGTAAAGAACTTTAACATTTAACATGCTAACTGAGGCCTATAGAGACTGAGATTTAACTTTTGGGGTTTTCGCAATTTCTCTGAGGATTGCATGATCTGACCTTGAGGTGAATTTGCATGGATGTACACTCCTGGGAAGATTGGCAATGAATGTTTTCAACTTGTGAATAATCTTCCTCATTGTAGAATGAGGGACTTTAAAGTGTTTTGAAATGTCCTTGTAATGCTTCCCAGATTGACGAGCAGCAACAATGGTTTCTCTGTGATCATTGCTGATGTGTTTCCTTCTTGGTATTGTGTTAGCACACACCTGAATGCTCCTGAGCAGCGAACTGCTAAAACTTGGGCTTTTATAGAGGTGGTCAATTTGCTGATGATCAATTAGTTAAGGGCATTTCGTTAGCAGCACCTGGCTGCTACTTAGCTTCTTAATTCCTATGGAAGCAGTAAGAAGGTACTTAGCATTTCATACATGGTTTCTCCATTTTGGCTTTATTTTTGTTAAATAAATCATGACATGGTGTAATATGTCATGTATTGTTGTTCAGCTGAGGATTTATTTACCTAATTTTCAGACCTGCTAAGGATCTGATGATTTTATTATGTCCTGATATTTAAAACCATAGAATTCAAAGAGGGAGTACTTTCTTTTTCACATGACTGTAGATTGGACCTTAGATCTAAGGTCTGATGACTTGTAAATATGGAATTATACAGTTGCATGTTCTAAATGGAAGGGGTAGAAACATATAGAGCCTATACTTTTCAGAACTTAAAATAATGATGATTGTGGTGATAAATGTGTTTAATGTTGGTCTCAATGACTGCCAATATTTTACACTAGAAGCTGGTTCACCAGCTGTTAATATACTGCAAGTTGCATTTCCCAAATTAAGCACAGGCAATGGTGAGTGAACAATGTGAGGTTGCTGTATACCAATATCTGGGACGTCAGATGTTTGTTACCCTAGCAGTAGTGGATTTTTTTCAAACAAAAGGAAATATGAATGCATAAGAGATATGCATGAGAAATAATTTTATATTTTTATTTTTGAAATCTTTACATTTCAAAAGTAGCATGTTACAAAGTATGGCAAAATGCTATTTGCGAAGGCTTTCGCGGCCAGGATCTAATGGTTGTTGTGGGTTTTTCGGGCTCTTTGGCCGTGTTCTGAAGGTTGTTCTTCCTAACGTTTCGCCAGTCTCTGTGGCCGGCATCTTCAGAGGACAGCAACCGGTGACCAGAGCACAAAGTGCTGTCCTCTGCAGATGCCGGCCACAGAGACAGGCGAAACATTAGGAAGAACAACCTTCAAAACATGGCCAAAGAGCCCAAAAAACCCACAACAACCATTATGGCAAGATGCTGCCTTCCAATTTCTGGTCAAAACGAGAATGAGGCCTCCTCTTCCCCTCAGGTTACTGGTGCTATGCACTATACAGTTTAAAGCATTAGGTACACCCAAACCTGCTGCTTAGCAATGCAAACTCAGTTTTCATCATCTACCTTTTGGAGATGCAGAACATTAAACTGCAATCCTGTGGACATCTACATTAGAGCAAATCCCATTAAGTTCTGAAAGCCTTACTTCTGAATAGACATCCACAGGACTGCATTGTAAATAATTTTTAAAAAGAAGGATCATGTGTAACTGGAAGATATAGTCATTCCTCTGTGATCTATTTTTTTTAATTAGAATGCCACATTTTCATTTAGTAATGGTCTAGCAGAAATTCTAATCTGTGTTTAAACAGAAGTCTCTGAAATTAAGTTCCCATTAAGTGCAGTGTCAAAATTATCTTGATACAGTATTTGCATTTGGTGCTAACTCAGGAGAAGAATGGATTGGTGCCTAAAATAATCTTTTCTGTCAGACACATCACACAGTGTCAGTATCTGGCAGTGAGGTTTGGGCCACATTCTTACATGTCACTTCCAGCTGAACGTATTCTGCTATGAAAGGGGACGTCTTATGTGCACCCATGAGAATTTTATTCTTTGAATGAAAAGAGGAGATGTCAATGTTTCCCCTTCACACCAATGGATAAACATATATAAGCATGCCCAATGCCATCTGTATTTGAATGTGTTCATGCCTGTAACAATGGGCTGAATTCGTTGGTGGTGACTTTATTTTAGGAAAAAGTACTTCCACTTTAAAACACAGGGCAACCCTAATATTTGCTTATTCCCCTGCTAAACGCTGCTTCTGAGGACTCATTAACCCACCTAGAACACTGTTGTAGGCAGTTAGATCACTGAAAAAGTGTCTCAGCTTGCATGCACTGTTTTCCACTAAGCCTAATCTCTATTGAATACTGTATAGTTGATTGTTCATAAACATTGCACTTGCAAGTATAGCCTCACAACTTACAAATAATTACTTATCAGGGCTGGGAGCTAGAATATAGATTCCATCATTATCCTGCAGCAACTAAGGGACCTAAAAATGAATATTGCTATAAGGAATTATGATAAAAGTGCATATTGCATTAAGCTGTAAAGTGGAGTATCATCTTTGCAAACAATAGAGGCACAATAGGCACAAATTCTTGGAATTCACAGGGACCAGCTTCTCTGGAAACATGGACAGGTGTAATTTGCAAGTGTGACAGTCAATCAAATTGACAATTCTGAATCCTTATTATTTCATTCATCTTTCACTCTATTTTGCTTTATATCTTTGAAATATTAATGTAATTCAGTCTTTTTCTTATCAAAGACCCAATTCAGATATTACAATCTTGGGATCATAATTCAAGGTTCATCAATTGAAGAGCATGTTGTGTGTTCACTTTCGTTCTCTTTGACAACCTGCTGTCCTCTTCCTTTGCTGTGTCCATCTTTGGTATTTCTACCGTGTTAAAGCAGTCTTTTTGGATATTAGAATCAGGAAGCTGTGATTTAACTATTGCTTACAAATGGCAATATGTAGTATCTGATCTCACCTGGGCAACAGTTGCATGGAATTACTTGCACAATACAACTTTCCCTTAAGTTATGTTGAAAATATATTTATGTACCTGTAAATAGCAAGATTTTTCCTAGGCTGTGGTGGCAAAAGTGGATTCTTCCATACTCAAATACCGTATTTTTCGCTCCATAAGACGCACCTTTCCATAAGACGCACCAATTTTTTAGGAGAAGAAAACAGGAAAATATAATCTGTTTTCTTCGCTTCATAAGACGCACAGAC